GGCTGCCGTGCACCCCCCTCGGGCCGATCGTCGCGCCCCTGACGGAGCTGCCGACGATTGCGGAGCGGCTGCAGCTGATGCAGGAGACGGCCGTGCCGCCCACCATGAAGATGGCGCTCGTGTTGCTGCTGCCCTTCGTGGGGCTGCGGACTTACGCGATCGTGCCGATCCTCAGCTCCGGAGCCGCTGCTGCCGCAGGAAGTGCCACAGCCTGGAGATGCCGACGGACCGCCTCCGCATGGCGCTGCCGATGAAGACCTTCGCCCCCTGATTCTGCCGCGAGTTCCGTGGCGTCGGGCCCTGGCATGGACGCTTCCAACGTTTCCGAGGAGGTCAACACCACCGACTCCGACGACTTCGCGTACGCCAGGCGGTACAGTGTCGGAGCTGCTGTTGTTCCTCGTGCCGCTGCAGATGCCGTGCTTCTTCCTGGAGCTGCCGCGGGGCAGCCTGGCACCGTCCGCAGAGGCGCTGGCGCAGATGCTGGAGCCGATGAGTTGGGTCGTCGTGCCGCCGCTGGAGTGGACATGGAGGTCTGCGCCCTCGTGGTTTGGGACGTCAGGCCCGTCGTAGTGGCGCGCGACACGGTCATCCTGGCGGCCGTGGTGATCCGCGACGCGATCCGAACGACGGCCGCCTTAGTCGCCTGCAGGCTCTCCTCCTCGGCCTCTTCCTCTCCCGCCTGCCTGCTGGGCGCTGCGCTGCGCTCCCAGGTTCGGATTCGTGGGAGGGGGAGCCAAGGCCTGTCCGCCGACCCCCGCCTCGGCGGGGGCGGTGGTGAGCGGGGGGCGGACTGGATTGCAGAAGGATCGCGCACGCCTGCCAGCCGTGATTTGGCCTCGTTCTCGTCCCCCGACGTCGAGTTCGCTCGAACTGCTGGTGGCCTCGTGCGCGAGCGCGCCGCCAGCGACCCCCCCCCCCCCCCGATTTTGCAGTCGAATCCTGGGAGCTCCTTAGTAGTTGTGGCATCGAGTGCGCATTGTGCGAGCGAGGAGTGCGAGGCAGGTCGCATTCCCCAGAGTCGGATGGCGACGGCTCCGACCTCGACTCGCCCCCTCCTCGGCCTGCCCTCCGCAGGACATGCTCCGACGGCGATGGCACCTTAGCACCGCTCCTGCATAAGCTACGACCCCATGTCTCTGACTGTTGCTCTTCGTGCCCGCGCATCACCGTGCATCGCATCCTGCCGTGTTGTGGCCCACGTTTGCACTGACCATGCGGTGGCGCTCGCCGCCCCCTACGTTGGTGCCTCGCCGATCGCATGGGTCTCCTCGTGCGTTTCGCTGGGCTGTAGTAGCTCGCTGAGCTGCGTGATCTCTGCTTACCCAATGTTGTTGTGCCTGCTCCTTTTCAGGTCTCGGCGCGATCAGACGCGCTGGTGCCTTTCCCTCCTCCTCCTCTTCCTGCTCCTCCTCCTCCTCCTCGTCCTCCTTATGCCGAGCTGGAAAAACATCTCCTCCTCCTCCTCCTCCTCCTCCTCCTCCTCCTCCTTTTCCTCCTCCTCCTCCTCCTCCTCCTCCTCCTCCTCCTCCTCCTTCTGCCGAGCTGGAAAAAAAAACATCTGGCCGCTGCTCCTCTTCCAGCTCCGCGTGCGCTCCCTCCTCGCTCCGCGCCCTCCCGCCCCTCCCCCTCCTCGCCCGTCCTCCTGCCTTCCCCCGCCTCTCATTCCCATGCCTCCACCTCCCCCTTTCCTGCCTCCCCGAGGGTTCCACCTGCTCCCTCCTCGCTCCGCCCTCCTGCTCCTCCTTTTCCTGGCCCCTCCCCCTGCCTTGCCCCGCCTCTCATTTCCCATTCCTGCTCCTCCCCCCTTCCTGTTCCCCCCCCCCTGCCTCCCCTTCCCATTCCTCGACCTCCCCGAGGGTTCCACCTGCTCCTCCTCCGCCCCCCCAGGCAGAATCCGCCAGGAGACGTCGCCATGATCGTCGTCTGGCCTCCCTCCCTTTTTTTGCGTCGTCGTCCCTTTCCCTGGCCGGAGTCCGCTCGAGATCAGTCCTTCGACTCGACCTTTCCAGCACCGTTTTGGCCATTCTCTCGGGTTACGTGAAGCCGTGGCATGTACCCAGCGAGGAAGAGAGGAGACGGTGGAAGGGGGAGGAAAACAAAACAGTATGAAGAAGGCGGAAGAGGAGGAGGAGGAGGAGGAGGAGGAGGATCAGAAACGCATGCAACATTGAACAAGCCGGCGCGAGAACGAGCCGGGTGAACGTTGTTTGGGGGAGAGGCGTATCTTCTCAGGGTCAGGTATGGTGCGCCATGACAGTGCCCCCCCACAAGGCTGCCCTTCCCGACAATCCCCCCCCCGCCCACCGCCGGTGCCTGTGCCGCGCGTTCTCCCCGAGGGGCGGCAGAGTCAGAAAGCACTCCCCCCCGGGGCTACCTCGGGTCTATGTTCTGAGAAGCGGCGGTCCCCAAACGGGGTGGTGACCACACCTCCTCCTCCTCCTCCTCCTCCTCCTCCTCCTCCTCCTCCTCCATTTCCTCCTCCTCCTACCCACCTCACCACGTGAGAAATGAAACTGCTGGAAAAACTCGTCCTCCTCCCCCCTCCTCCTCCCTCCTCCTCCCTCCTCCTCCTCATCCTCCTCCTCCTCCTCCTCTGCATCTGCCCTGCCCGGTCGTATACAGGCGGCCCGGATTAGTATTGGGAGCCCCCAAACGGTGTGGTGACCACATCGTGCGGTGAGTCGGTGGGGATTCGGGGTCACCGCACGGTTTTGGGGCTCGGGTCGTTCTCTGAGGACGGCTCGGGCGACAGGGGCCTCCGGGGTCCCAAGACCGTGCGGTGACGGACCGTGCGGTGAGGTCTTGGGAGATGTCGAGGTCACCGCACGGTCCGTCTCCGCACCGTTTCGGGACTCCAAAGAGAACATTGTTTTTGTTCTGAGAAAATTTTCGGGGTTCTACGAACATGTCGTGGTAGGACTGTAGGACTGCCGGGACGGTCGGTTCCTGCCCAACCCCGTGTGCGGAGGCGGGGCGGAGACGGAGCTGCCGGCCCGTGGGGTCTCTGCGTCGTGCGGCACGTCAGGCGGGGAGGCGGGGAGCGCACGGGCGAGGCGAGGACGTCGTCGCCTCGTCCACTCCTCGGTCGTCTGTTCCAGGGCTGGACCTAAACGGTGTTTTGGCGATTTCCTGGGCCGTTTTCGTTTCGATTTTGTTTTGCGGTAAAGTCGGATTGAAGACAAAACGAGGGAACACGGAAACAAAACGAAGACGAAAAACACCGTTTAGGTTCAGCCCTGGTCTAGTCCTTGCTCCTCGGAAGAGCAAGGCAGAGGCGACCGAAGAGCGCAGGGCCTTTTGCTGCGCGCGCAAGGGCGTGGACAGAAACGTTCGCGCACATGCGCGCGAAGCGTGGAGAGGAAGTGGGAGACGGCAAACCCGCCGCCAGAGTTATCAATGTTTCTCGGGTGCCTTTGGAGGAAGATGCGGAGGAGGGTGAGAGAGGTCGGCGGCGGTCCGCAGCCGTTGTGGCTCAGGCCGTGTTGGTTCCAGCCGCGCCTTGGTCGGCCGTTCGGGGGGGGGAGGGGGCTTCTCAGCTTGCGGCGCGTGAAGCTGGCGACAGCGTCCCCCCTGTCCATCATCGCCCTCCCGCCTCCTCGCCCTCCTCCACCGTCTCTCTCGTCTCTCCCCCCTCCGCCTCCTCCGCCTCCCGCTCCCTCTCTCTCTCTCTCTCGCTCTCTCTCTTCCTCTCTGCAGCTGGCGACGACTTCCGCGCAGAAGCCCTTCTTCCAGGGAGGAAAAGGCACCCCGACCCCCACAAGAGGCGATCTCTAAGCAACCCTGGGCGTCTACTGCACAGCCCTTCCCCTGGTCGACCCCTCTGCAGGTGCGTCTGCCGAAAGGGCTCCGCTCGTGGGGTCGCTTCCCGCGAGGGTGCTTCTTCCGCCCCTCCCCCTCCTCCTCCTCCTCCTCCTCCTCCTCCTCCTCCTCCTCCTCCTCCTCTTCCTCCTCCTCCGACCGAACAGCCCAAGGGCGGCATCGACAGACCTCGAGCTCTCAGAGCCCTCCCCGCCCCCGGCCGGGCAGCTGCCGCGATGGCTCGGGCCGTGGCGGCGAGGGCGGCGAGGAGGGCCGCCGCGGCGCTGGCCCTCGGAGCCGCCGCGGCGTGGGCGGCCACCCTGCGCGCGGCCTTCGCGGGGCACCGCGCCGCCCTCTGGGCGCCGCGCGGGCCCGGCGCGGCCCGCCGCGGCAGGGCCCCCCCGCGGCGAGCCCGCGGGCGCGGCCGCGGCAGCGGGCCGCCGCGGCGGCGCCGCTGCGCCGGGCGTCCCCGGCCGCGTCGCCGCGGCCGCCGCCGCCGCCGCGGCCGCGGCCGCGGCCGAGGCATCGAGCAGTGACGAAAGCGTCCTGGCCCTTGCCTGTGGGCGCGCGGAATCAGAGCGTGAATTACCCTACCCCGCTTTCGCTTCCAGGCAAGACCAAGTCACACCACGCGCCTCCTCGTCAAGCGGCCTGACCAGCACAGGCTGTAGTTTGGCATCGCTTGGTATCTCTTGGAAGCGAGGGTAGTCGAAAGCGAGGTAGGTTTGTTTGCCCCCTACGAAACAGTGTTCTGAGAACTGTCTGGGGTCTGCAGGAGGTGTTCGTAGAACATCTGTGGCCGAGGCAGTCTTGTTTTGCACTGCCAGCTTGAGGCTTTTGCCCAAGAGCATCATTCGCTCATGCCGTGCTTCCTTCCTCTGCAACAGAAAGCTCAATGTCGTTTTACAACGGTTGTGTTTATGATGTCCAAGCGCATTTGAAGCTTATGTACTGCCGGGACAGTGCTGTTTTGTCCAAGAACATGCTTAGTTGTGGTTCGAGCATGTTCTGTTTTAGGGACGCCGCATGGTAGGCCTCTAGGATTCAGTCGGGCCTGTCCCTCTACAGGGGGAATATCCAAACATAGTGCAGAAATAGTCTGGGGATGATTTTTTGTATTTTTTTGTGTGTTTTTGATTTTTGTTGGGGGTGTTCTTGATTGTTCCTCTAAATTCCGCCTGTAGGGGGATAGGCCCGACGTCTAACTCTGGGAATGCCTGGGCGGCCAGTCCCTGCTCCAGAGGCAGGCGCCGGCCGACGGCGCGCGCTGGGGGCCTCCGGCGCGGCCCTGCTGGCGGGCGCCGGGCCGGCAGCCGCGGGGGCTCGGAGCCTGGCGAGCAAGATCCAGGCCGAGCGGCGCGGGAGCTCTGAACACCTGAAGAAGAGCGCGCGTGGGCACATCCAGGGCAAACAGACCACAAAAGAAGCCGAACACACGCACATCCGCACGCGACTGGATTCAAGTGCTGGAAGGTCTGGAGGCCACGCGCTGGCTGCACACGCAGAAGCCTGGCGTCCCCCGCCCAGCCACATGTGCACGCAGCCCTCGCCCAGGCCGTCAAGCATCAGGAGGGGAAAAAACACACAGACACGATTACTCGTCGACTCCCCAGAAAATATGGGAAAATATGGGAAGTGGGGGGGACCACAGAAACCCAGAACATCTGGGAAAATATGGGGAATCCTTTTATTTGTGTGTATTTATTTGTGTGTCCCAGTTCCCCTTCAAAGATCCAGGCTGTCAAGCAGTGGCGAAGCGTCCTGGCTTCAAGCAGTGGCGAAGCGTCCTGGGGATCGGTCAAGCGATACTCAGATGCCGCTGCCCTTCGCCCATCTTCCCCCACGTCAGTCTCCTGGGAGGCCGCCGTCGCCACTGCTTGATTCGCGTCGAAGCTCTGATCGGAGCGCACCCTGGGAGAGGTCCGGGGAATATCAAGTAGTGGCGAAGCGTCCTGGCGGGCCTATAGCCCCACCAAACAATGTTCTAAGAACCTTTTGTGGTGTCCACGAAATGTTGTTCGAACATTTCTGGCGGAGTCTGTCTTGGTTTAGCACGTCGGGCTTATGTTCTAAGAGCATTGTTCTTTGTTATTCGAACATGTTTGGGTTCTACGAACATGTCGTGGTAGGACTACAGGAATGCCGGGACGGTCGGTTCCTGCTCAAAGGCTGCAGGAGGCCAAGATTCGGGGAACAGACATCGGCGGAGAGCGAGGGGGGGAAGCGAGAAGGGGCGGGCCGTCTCGGAAGGCTCGGAAGGCTCCCGCTCTTCTGAGAAGCTGTCTAAGCCTTGCCTGAAGGCTCAGAACGCTTCTCAGGCGGCCCGAGGGCTTCTGAGAAGTCCCGCCGCCTTCTGAGAAGGCCTTCTCCTTCTCACTTCCCCCTCGCTCGCCGCCGAGAACAACAACATAACCATACAAACTCGGAGGTCTGAGCGGATTTCTCGGATCCGTTGGGGCCCCTTGGCGGCGCCTCTGGCGCCGCCCTTGGCGCGCTCCGCGCGCCAGGGAGGGGGGTCCAGCGCCGATCCGAGAAATCCGCGCGGACCTTCGAGATGTTATTTTTCTGTCAATGCTTGTTCCCTAAAGTTTCACTGTAGGCGTGTGCCTTTCGCAGGTCGGTTCGTGTGCGGTTCCTGGTTTGCTTGGCGACGTTTTGATTCGCACCGCGGGGAGCTAACCTATTCATCTAGCTGAGTGGAAGACATGACAGATCCAGGCTTCAGGGGCAACGTTAGGGCGGGATAGGCTCAGGGGGGAACGCATCGACCCCCAATCGCCCACTGATCGCCGATAGGTGCCCGACAGCGCCCCGTCCTGGAAAGGGAGGATTCGCAATCAAGAGCCTGACACCGATCTGTCGGCGATGCATCGCCATCGCCGATGCTAGGTCAACGTCTCCCCCACTGAGCGGGTCCCTCCCCCCAGCGTTGCCCAGACAGGCGGGGGACATGGAGGTAGGCTTCTACAAGATCACGAACATCAACACGGCCAACATGGACGAGTACAGGCAGTTCCCCCGGGTCTACCCCGCGTGCGCGGCCCTCATCAGCCAGAGGGCCCAGAGGAAGCCTTTCAGCAAGGTGAGCGACATCTTCGACATCGACGACGCGCCAGACGGGTTTGAGGCCATCATGGCGAAATACGTGAAGTATCTGACCGTGGACCCCTCGGAGGCAGGCAAGAAGGTTCCGAACGGTCTCGGCTGAGTCCTGGAGCCTCTCTCCCTCCCCCTCCCCCTCCTGACGACGTGGGGGCTCTCTTCGGATCTACCTGCTCCTTGCTCTGACGCCGTCAGCGCATAGACGCAGGGCCAGAACGCTCTGCAAAGGAGCGCTGGCGATAGAGAGCGTGAGATTTTCGCAGCCTTCTCCGCAGTGGAAGAAAACCATCGAGGCTTCGCATACCCACCAGCCCATACAGAAACGACGAGTCCAGGGCGAGGTGCCCCAAGAAGAGAGTTTAAGGAGCATCAGTGAAAAGGAGGGGGGGCGGGCACCAGTCAAGCCGAAGCTGGTATCAGCCAGGGCAGATCACGGTCAAAGGTCGGCACTCCCATCTTTCGGGGGCGTCCAAGAGGGGGGTGATGACTAGGGCGGGAGATATCATGGCCAGGGCCGTGAATCTCCCCTTGACGTCATAGCGAGGACGGAACATCTGAACATCCAGCGCCTCCGCGAGAGTTTCCAGTAGTGGAGGCTCTGCCCATTCCCAGGTACATGGTGGCTTCTGGTGGGGACTAGGGTGATGTGGCTATCCCGGACGAAGGTGGTACTTCCACCAATGGCCGTGCAAAGGTGCTTTTGCCCATACTCGTATTTCCAACACGTGTTGGGTCTTCGACGAGACAAGCTCGACTACGTAAAGACAGGATTGTTCTATGAGGCATTCCCGGGACGCCCATGTGTCCTAAGGTATTGTGTTGTTGGCCAATTGGGGCATTGGGTGCAGAACATGTGGGTTCACAGTCGAACATAACGCACGCAGTATGTCCTACTCTCCTTTGGACTTGTCCTTAGTCTCTCACTTCGTCCCTGCGTTAGCCCGTTGTATAATAGTTTCACACTTCTGAAGGTTGTTGTGTAAATGTGCCCATGTCTTCCATACGTCTTCCCAGGTACGCTCCGCATTATGTCCATCGTGAGTACCAGCTGACCTCTCACATGCTTCTGGTAAGGTGACTACGCGAGACCCAGACGGTGTATGGCATGGATTGGACAATTCGTCCTTCAGAATGCTCTTGCGAGCAGCTCGCTCTGCTGGTTCCCAGTCTGGCGAAGACCAAGCAGTGGTCATTCCACGTTTGACGTTTGCTCTCCGCAACAGAGCTACTGCTGTGCACTTGTCCAGCATGGTGCCATATTCAACGAACACACATGTTTTTGAAATCGTCTTTGGCGTAAATAGTTGTTGGGATAGTTAGGGCCGCTCATCGTGGACAACTTCTTCCTGAGAAAAGCTGCTGCCGCCGCGTCGGTATCGAAGCCGTCCAAATTTCCAGCAATTGCAGTAATTGCGTGTTCTTCCAGTGTAGTGGTAGCTATCTGCAGGATTGGGAGTTCCTAGAACATGATCTCGGATTGATCTTATCGAAGCGTTCGTTCATCTCGTTCTCCATGGTGGTGGCACGTATGTGGATGTCTCCAATATCGTTGGACACTGTGTTTTGCAAATCCTCGAACTTGGTGGATATTTCGTCGATTTGGGCTTTGAGCCGTTATGTAGCTTCTTCCACGTCCAGGTGCCCGTCAGGGCGACCTGGAATAGGAATGCGAAGCGATACTGTGTTGCTCTGCCTCGAAGCCACGAACAGCTGCTTGACGGGGGCACCTGAAGCAGGCATGGGTGTGGAATCGAAGTGTGGGAAAGAAGCGAGGATGCGAGGTGTGTATGTCCTAGGTGTACGTTGGTAGTGACAGCATAGTCAGTAGCAGAGCGGCTCCAAGCGGCTTGAGCCGAAAAGCGGCTTGACACCACGACCTAGCCCTAGACCCTATTTCTCCGAGCGGGATCGATTGGTGATGGTCTCGGGGCCCGAAACCAGGCGAAAACGCCCGATGTAAAAAAAAACGCTAGGATCTAAGGGTAGCTGCTTTTGGTTCCCTGGCGCCTTGTTGCTACAATTGTTATCGTAGCCCTGCGACCCGTCCTGCGACGCAACACGCGACCCGACTGCGCCACCCGCGTCCCCCTGGCCCCTGGGGGCCCTCGTCAGAAAGGCTCGGGATGCAAAACCGGCCTTGGGGAAAGGGTCGGGACGGGACTACTGGGGACCCCGAATTGGAAAAACAGTACCCTGCATGTCTGGGTCCTTCCTCCTCCTTCTCGTCCTCGTCCTCCTCCTTCTCCCCTTCCAGGAAACTCTCCGCCCACGGGGAAAAAAATCCTCCTCCTGCCTCCTTCTCTTCTCCTCTTCCTCCTCCCCGCGCCGTGGCTGCGCCTCTGAGAGAGGTGGTCGGCCTGGCCAGGGCTCTGCGGCGGGGCCCGCGCGGCGAGCGCTGTCGCGGCGCGCGCGATCCGTGCGCCCGCGCCGGCGCCCCGCCCGCCAGGCCGACCTCCGGATCCGGCAGGCCAGCCCGACCATCGGAGGAGGAACATCGGAAACTGGAGCATATACAGTCGGGGCGTTGACCTAAGGAACGATAAATGAGGAACGAAGCCCCTTTTTTATCCCAAGGAATAACGCATAAGGAACTGTAAATTACCAGTGGCGGGCGGTTTTTCAATCCCAGGACTTCTTTGAGGGTCGGGGACGACGTCGGGGTGGTGTGGCGTATACTTTTTGTCCCCGTTTTCCGGGGGAAACAACGAAGAATGTATGCACCAGGATCCCATATGCACCAGGGTCCGCTTTTCTGTGCGCGATTCAGTGCGAGGCCAGACAAGGGCGTCGGTGTATAGAGTTCGGTTCCCTAGAAAAGGTACCGATGCTCGGGGGCCATGCAGTCATCGGGGATAAAAGGGCCCCTAACACGAATGACACAGTGAACCCGTGGCCTCACTTGGGTCTCCGTTTTTGCACTAGGGCGGAGAAGTCTTGGCAGTTTGGTTTGATACGTCCGCAGAGCGACCCCCCTATCTCTGATTTTTTGGTGCCCTCCTAAACTTAGGTCCCCTCCCAAAGGATTAGCGGCCACTTTATCGCGAAGCACAAGGGGCGTTATGCACGCCTCTCCCAGCGCCTGACGCTCCCCCCCCCGTGCGCCCCAGGCACTGCCGCAGCGCGTCCTGCCCCACAGTCTGGCACGCGTGGGGAGCGGGCGCGTTACTTTATGCCCCCCTCTCCCCTCCATGCCCCCCCCCAATAGCAAGCCAGGCTCTGTCTCTACCAGTTCCGCTGCCCTCTCCTTTTAGGGCCTGCTGGGAGGTCCTCGTCGCCACGGCTGGATTCCCTCGGGAATCCTGGCCGAGGCGCACCCCGGGATAGGTCCGCGGAGGAGCGGCATCGGTACCCTCGTGGCATCGTTCGGACGTGTGCATTTTTCCATCAAGGAGCGTTTTTGTTCACCTCACGAAAAATTACACGCGCGAGCCAGAAAATGCACAGGGAATGGACGTCCGCGCCCTAAGCCTCCCAGATGGGGTCCGAGTAGACGGGGTCGGAGGATCGCGCCGCATCGCCGATGCATGGGCGATGCGGCTCGATGTCGGCTTTCCCCGCGCCAGCGTCGCCAGTGCACCGCCAGCGTCGCCGATGCATCGGGGATGCGTATCCACTGTGCGGCACCATCCTCCGACCCCATCTACTCCGACTCCGTATGGGAGGCCTTTAGATATCGCGGTTCCCCGACTCCCCTCCGCGGGGACAGGCCGGGGGTGTTCTCTTCTCGGCCGGGGTCTCCTCTGGAGCTGGGTGGGTCCCAGGATGGCGCTCTTGAGGCCCCCTCGGGCTATCTTGGCGCCATGTTGAGGCCTCGGAAGGCTATCGAAAGCGAACGGGCGACAATTCCAAATGTTTTGATCTTCTTGATGCGTGTTCAAGGAATCTGGCGTCTTGGGGCCTCCTTGAGAGCTCTTTGGCCACTTAGAGCCGTCTTCGGGCGGCCTCGGGGCTTCTGGGAACATTTTGGGAACCGTCCTGAGGTATCTTGCGCTGTTTTTAGCCATCTTGGAGGTCATCTTGGGCTTTGTGAGGCGCTCTTGGAGCCGTCTTGGGCCATCTGGGACGCTCTCATCGCTCGCGACCGGTCCCGTCCGGGTCCATGGAAGTGGGTAGGGGGCGGGCAAACCCCTTCCCGAAGGGGAAGTAGGGGGTTGGAAGAGAAACCTCCCTATACCATCTACGCCCGGATGGCTGGTGGGATTTATATTCCGATAAGACCCCCTTACGGGTGATAGGGAGGTTGGGGGGGGAAGGGTGGGGCGGTCGATATGCCATCGCTCTGAGTTCTTTGGTGGTTTCCTCAGCTGTCTTGTTGTCGCGCACATATGCCAATCTGCCTCTCTATGTATACACCCACCTGCTTCTCTACGTATCTATCCAACCACGCATCGTTCCCATCCCGGGACAATCATCGGAACAACCATCGGGACAACCATCGGGATCTATCGAAGACGCCTACGGGGAGTCACCGCCGCCCCTGCCTTTTGAAAGCGTCTATGTGGCCGAAAATTGCGCCAAGCCGCCTATAGGCTTCCCAAGAGAGCGCCAAGCCGCCCATCGGCTTCCCAGACGCCCCAAGACGGCCCAAAAGGTCCCCGACACCGCCCACAAGGGGCCCAAAACAGCCCCATAAGGACTCCGAAAGGGCCCCAAGAAAACCCCCCAGAGCCCCCAAAGACGCTAAATAGCACCATGGCTCCAGGTTGCAACCTCCACGTCAGCAGCGGCGATGACGATGACGACGACGCCGCCGGCGACGGCGACGGCGACGGCGCCGGCGACGGCGACGGCGACGGCGAGGGCGACGGCGCCGACGACGACGACGACGACGACGACGACGACGACGACGACGACGACGACGACGACGACGACGACGACGACGACGACCACGACGACGACGACGACGACGGCGGCGGCGGCGGCGGCGGCGGCGGCGGCGGCGGCGGAGGCGACTGCGACGACGACGACGACGACGACGACGACGACGACGACGCGACGACGACGCCGACCAGCGCGTCCCCAGAGCCTCCTCCGAACAGTCCCAGAAGCTCCGCGGGATTCCGAATCCTCTCCAGTGCTGTCCATGACGTCCTAAGAGAGCCCCCAGACCAAGAGGCAGCCCAAGACGCGCTCAAAAGAGGGCCCTGGGATGGCCAAAGATAGCCCCAAGGTGGCCCAAGCAAGACGCACCCAAGACGCTCCTAAGCGGGCCCCAAGAGGGGCCCAAGAAAGAGAACTCGAACTGGCTTTTGGAGCCGCTCACCCCAAGATGGCCCCAAGGGCCCCCAACTCCCAGAAGGCTTCCAACAGGCCCCCAAGGGGCCTCCAAGAGGCCCCCAAGAGGCTCCAAAGAGGCCCCAGGAAGCCTCCAAGAGGCCCCCCCAAAGACACGCGCACTAACCCGACCCCCCTTCACGCTTTCAGCAACGAGCGAGTTGGCTTCGAAACTCACGGTCTTGTTTTTTTCGGGGGCGTTCCCTCTTCCGCGCTACACGCTGGGCTGCGAGGCAGGTAGAACCTGAGCGCGCGCGAAGCGCGCGCGATGGTTCCAGTTTTGGTATTGGGCTGTCTCGTCGCCTCCGCTGGAAGTCCGACCATCCTGTATTGGCGCAGGTAGCAGATGTTCGGGGCCTCGTAGCTTTCACGCTGGTCGTGCCTCGTTGGACCCGCGCGGTGTGCCGTGGAAGTTTTCTGTCCATCGATTTCCTATGGATTTCGTCCGTTGGGGTTCCGACTGGATGGTCTCGGCGGCTGAGAATTAAAGAGACGCTCGTATCAGTCGCCTCGCCTTGTGAATGCAAACGTTTGTAAATGTTTCGTTCGGCCTGATGGCCAGGGGCTGCAAGTATGCCTGGTACATGCCATCTCGATGTTGTTTGGCTGCTGTAGGTCGTCCCTCGCAAGCCCGTCCGTCGACGGGGTATGTGCCCTTGCCCCCTGCAGCAAAGACATTCTCTGGCAGACAGAATGGAAGTTGATCGCATAACTGCATGCTGACTGTTTTGATATTTGGAATGTGTGTGCCGCAACCACTGCGGCTCAAGCTTCCTGCCTATCCATCCCGCTTTCGCCCATTTCTTCATGTCATCTCGGTGTTGTTTGGCTGCTGCAGGTCGTCTCTCGCAAGCCCGTCGGTCGACGGGATATGTGCTCTTGCCCCACGCAGCGAAGACATTCCTTGGCAGACAGAGTGGAAGATGATCATTATCATTATCATCGTCATCATCATCAGCGTCGTCATCATCAGCATCAGCATCGTCAGCATCATCATCATCACCATTATCTTCACCATCGTCAGCATAGTCATCATCATCATCATCATCATCATCATCATCATCATCATCATCATCATTATCATCATCATCATCATCTTGCTGCTCCTGCTCACGAGGCCGCCCAGAAGCTGCACGCCGCCAGCAGCCCAGAGAGCTTTGCAGCCGCGGCGGGCGCCGCCGCCACGGCGGCGGTGCGAGACGGCCTGCGCCCCTGGGGCGGCAGGGAGGGCTGTCGTCGTTCGCTCGTCGTCGGTCGTCGTCGTCGGTCGTCGTCGCCGTCGCCGCCGCCGTGGCCGCCGCCGCCGCCGCCGCCGTCGCCGCCGCCGTCGTCGTCGTCGTCGTCGTCGTCGTCGTCGTCGTCGTCGTCGTCGTCGTCTCCGGCGACTCCGTTGTCGTTGTCGCTGTCGTCGTCGCCGACGCGGGGGACGTCGCCGTGAAGTGAAGGAGTCGCGGAGGAAAGTCGGGGGGATCCTAGAGGTGGGTTAGGC